GTAGCAGCAACATACTAAATTTAAGAGTAATCAATAGGGGGCTGATGCGGGGAGATAGTGCATCTGGTGTGCTTGCATGCATGCATGGTGGCATGCAGAGTGCACAAGCAAACAAGATTTACTCAGTCTAAACTGTCACAAACAAAGGGAGGGGGCCGGAGCCCAGTTGACCTCCACATGGCTCCGCCCGTGACGACGGTGACGCAGACATGACAGGTGCTCGGCTCGGCACAGAGGCACAGATGGTTCGCTGGTTGGGGCTGGTTTGGTTTGTTGGCATTTGGTCTTTGGTTTTTTGAGAAAAAATCGGTGTTGGCTTGGTTTGGCACAAGCACGTTGAAACTGACCCAAGCGAGAGCGAAGGACGAACAGAGCAGGTATAAAGAGCACGGTACCGGTGCTGGCTGCTGGTGCGGTAAAGCACAAGCACAGCTGTCACTCCCATTAAAACTCGGACACGACCCAAGCGAGAGCGAAGGAACGGCCACGCCGAGTGCAGCGCGTGAGGACACGACGGGACAACGGCCGGCTACAGCTACACTAGCGCCACAGTTACCGTAGGAGTAGGTTTGCTCCTTCTTTTTTTATTCGTTTATATATATATATATATATATATATATAACAGTTTATTTGCAATGTTTAGACATATAAAATTTTTTAGCAAAACTCGAATTTAAATTTGATTTAAAAGCTATATATATATATATATACATGTATATCGTTCTATTTATTAATGGATTTTATTTTATTTATAAAGGTTGCTTTTCATGCTTAATCTAACAGAACGTACCGTTTGCTGGTATCGCCGTTCGTTATTCCTAAATATTTCTACGCGCTGCGTATTTTAACTTAGACGTTGATTCGAGTCCATAAAACTGGGTCACCGAATTCACTTATCATGTCGAGTACGTTTTAAATCAAAAAATCGAGAAACACGTTTCATAAATTTTTACTTAGGCCTAAATCACGGTGTTAAACGAGCTCGTAACAACAGAGGTGTTACAGGTAAGGCTCGCCACTGACACCCTTCCACAGACCCCGCACAGAGCGGGAGCTCTCTGCATTGGGTATGCCCTTTTCTTTTAATGATATATGGCAGACGACCAGCACCGGCAAGAACGAGGACGATGCCGATGGTGCTTCACGATGGTCGCCTAGACTATGTCCTGTAAGACCATCAGCCTGTTCGCTTGTTGGTTTCAGCCAGCCCAAACCAGCCAGTCAACAGTGTTTTTCTCTCACAATAAACCAGCACCAGCCAGCCCAAACCAGCTCAGAAACCAATCAGCGAACAGGCCGCATTTCTCTACAATATCATCGAAGCTCAATTTATGTTGACCACATATCTGCACTTTGTGACAGCTTGATTAGTAACGGCTCTTTTTATTTATTATCTGTATATTCAGATTGCTCCTTGGATTAGCATATAGAGCATTGATAATTTCATATGGGTGTCTTTGCTTTTTCAGGCATTGCACTGTATCATTTGTAGATCTTTTTGCAGCAGCTGCACAGGTTGTTCCAGTTCCAGCAACCAGTTCCATGCAGCCAGCAAGTTCACTCGGTACTCCACAGAGTACACAGCCTGAACCACAGGCTGTATCCATTGACTCTGGAACTTCATCGGTATGTTATATTGCCTCTCCTTAATTATTCATGCTTCGTTACATAGGTCTACATAAACCTATTTTCTCATTTCGTATACAGACACCTGCTCCAGCAGCTGACGCAGATGATACACCTCTAAAGGATCTTATCACCAAGTAAGTCACATTGGCATATGAAAATTACTGAACAAGAAAACAGCTTTGTTTACCTTTTCAATTGTTTCCATCAAAAAAATAAATATTCTTTCCATATGATTTAGGTCGCCAACAGGAACAGCACACGTTCGC